GTCGTGTATTTAAATGGTGATAATAGAATTCATTGAAATCCCTCAATTAATAAAAGATTAATTCTTATAACATCTCATTTAACATGTGTTAATTTTTTATAACTTCTATCTCATATTGGTTTTTATATATAGAGCTTATATTTTTACAAATGTATAAAAATATGTAAAGAACAAATAAAAAATAAATAAAGAAGGAATAAAAATATAATATATTTTTATATTACCTCACTTTATCTCTTTAATTTTTTTTATTTTATAATTGATTCTTTTTTCATTTTACAACAGTTTTTTATTTTATTAAGCTAGCTTTGAAGTTTGAAGCATCTAACGCACCGATTTGCTCAGTGGGTCTGCCAGATTCTACTTAATTTAACTTAGACAATACTAATTTATAATTACAGTTTTAAATTTTTAAATTTTTTAATATATTAAAAATATATAAAATATATTTAATATTTATTTTAATTAATATTTTATATATTTTCAAAATAATAAAAAAAAACTAAAAAAATAAAATACTGAGAAATGTTATTAATCCAAGGTAAACCTGAGCGCAGCCCCATATTAAATTCGATTTGTGGCCTGAGCATGGGTTTTTGGGCTACGTATACGGATCTGTGATGTTGGGCTGGGTGTAATTAAAATTCTCCATACGGTAGTCATAATGGTTCCTTTTGGGCCTTCTAGCCTTGGGTTTTGTTCGAGAACTGGGCTTGTAGCCTGTTTCTGTAGGTGAATCCATTTAGAAGCAAAATTTCAAAAGAAGGGAGTAAATATTGGAGATGCGGGGGATCGAACCCCGTGCCTCTCGCATGCAAAGCGAGCGCTCTACCATTTGAGCTACATCCCCAATTGGGTGGATGTCAATCAAAATTGAGAATATCGTTTTCAGCTCAACAAGAAACTGCTGTAACTATTATACTCTGGGATAATCCCTGCAAGGGATGCCAGTGCAAATCTCTTTTTCAAAGGACATGTTTACAGAAAAGGATTTGATGGTGGTTAAGGAACTACCAAAGGAGTGAATTAGGACATTATAGAATAGAGAAAACCCAGCAGCTGAAGCTTTCACCTGTTATTTTATATTTCTAAATGCCGGTGCAATAGTTTAATTTGACTACTACTCTACTGTTGTTTTGGGTGAAGATATTTCAAAGAGGGTAAAGCAGAAGCTAAGACAGCCAACAAGTTCACTTCATTAAGACACGCCACAAGAATTTCTTATGTCGGAACCATTGCCTTTTTTTTTTTTCCATTGCAATGAGAATGAAATGACTTTTTTTTTTTTTTTTTTTCCATTGCAATGAGAATGAAATGACATATTTTAGTTATCCAGACATTACCAAATTGGGCTTATTGAAAACAATTTTCAGCTAATCCCAGCTCAATTGACCCAGATTTTGGACAATAGTAAAACGCACTTGTACAGTCAAACGAACAACGAACGTTCGGGGTTCTGGAAGTATGGTATAACTAATGCCAATAGTTTAATGAATACACATTTCCAATTCATCTAACTAAATTGATTTTCTTTTTCTTGAATTCAGCACAATATATCTTTTCTCTGTAGATAGACAAGCTCTTATCACTATATATTGAATCAATCCCGAATTCCCAATTCACAAACACATATCCTAATCTCAGAACTAAGACAGCTGAGATGAAGAAAATGCAGACCTCTAGCTATTTCTTTTTTCTACCCACTCTCCTTGTCCTGCTTTCTCTGGCTAAAGGGCAGCCCCTTGTTCCTGCAATGTTCATATTTGGAGACTCAGTCATGGATGCCGGCAACAACAATCACCTCTCCACCATTATAAAATCAAACTTCCCTCCCTATGGAAGAGACTTCGTTGATCACAAACCAACTGGAAGATTCTGCAACGGAAAATTAGCTGCGGACTTAATTGGTTCTGCATCTCATCTTCCTTCTCTTTTTCTTGAAAACCCTTTGTTATTCTAGTTCTACCAATTTTTTGATGTAAAATTATGTTGTAATGTTGTTTGTCTTCCTCAAACACAGCTGAAAACATTGGCTTCACTTCGTATCCTCCGGCTTACCTTAGTAAAAATGCCACTGGAAGCAATCTGTTGATTGGTGCCAACTTTGCCTCTGCTTCCTCTGGTTACTATGATACTACAGCAAAGCTATATGTAAGTGCAATAGAATTTTCAATATTCCATGAACCAAACATGTTCTTAAGTCTTCATCTCCAATTCTATTCTCCATATACAATTGCTAATGTAGAGTTTCTTTTTTGTTCTGTTTTTTGCAGGAGACCCTTTCACTGCCTCAGCAACTAGAACATTACAAGAAGTACCAGAAACAGCTGGCGGCAATCGCCGGACAATCCAATGCTTCCTCCATAATATCCGGCGGTCTCTACATGCTCAGTGACGGAGCTAGTGACTTCCTTCAGAACTATTACATTAATCCCCTGCTGTACAAAGTCTACACACCCGATCAATTCTCCGATATCCTCATGCATTCCTACTCCAATTTCATTCAGGTCCACCTCAACCTGGAATCCGAAACCCAATACTGGTTTTCGTAGGTTTTGAATGTAAAGTCAATTTTTTCCATTTTTTGGGGTGCAGAAATTGTATGGATTGGGAGCAAGGAAGATCGGAGTGACGTCATTGCCACCGTTGGGGTGTTTACCGGCAGCCATCACGGTTTTCGGCGAGGACAGCAACAAATGCGTCGCCAAATTAAACCGAGACGCCGTTTCATTCAACAACAAACTCAACACGACATCTCAAAGCCTGCAAAAACAGCTGTCCGGCCTCAATCTCCTTGTCTTCGACATCTACAAACCTCTCCTCGATCTCGTCAATCACCCTGCCGACAACGGTACGTCGTACCCTGAAACAATTCAGACTTGTGTTTGTAGAATTCGAGTTCGTTTTTATCTTAATTTGGGAAATGCAGGGTTTGCGGAGGCGAGGAAGGCTTGCTGCGGAACAGGGCTGCTGGAAACGGCGATTCTCTGCAACTCTAAGTCGATCGGAACGTGTGCGAACGCGACGGAGTACGTGTTTTGGGATGGTTTCCATCCGTCGGAGGCTGCGAACAAGATGTTGTCCGATGCTCTCTTAGTCGAGGGCATCTCCCTCATCCTTTAATAATGGAGTTGTGTTCTTTATGCTATTATGTTGTC